TGACCGAGCGTACACGCACCCCATGGTTGAAAACTGCCCCCGCGTCGTGTGCGCGTCGGCCTTTCATGCTTTCAATCTATTTGGGCGAACGCCTTCGTCCTGGGGCAGATATTAGATGAGTTCGGCTCTTTTAATTTGTATTCTAGAGTTCAGCGAGAGCCAAATACTGAAAACAAGGAGTAGTTAGCTCTAGGTCTCTAGGTAAAAAGGCTTTGATATAAAGTGCAAAATTGGGAGACCCCGTTTCATCAAAATCCTGGCTCCAGCTCTTCTCTGGCGCATTTTTCGTCGCTTTTCCCAATCGTACATTTTCGTTCCTTAAGAATTTTTGTTCATCCTTAATCAGAACTTGACCCAACTTGTCCCTGAGGAGTGACATGATGAAGAAGCAGTAATCTACTCTGCCCCAGATCTCCGAGAGAGCTTTTTTTTACAAAAATTTATTATTGGAAACCTGTAAAATCTCAACAGTGACTGGACAAACGGAGATCATAGTAGTTAACAACGATTACATTAACATGTTCATGGCGCATATTTTTGCAGTTTGTGAGTGAGCATTTGGAACACATAGTCAGTGCTAACAATATGGGAAATAACTAGTACTAGAAGTACACCTCCAACCCCTACATGAGCCAACGTATGAGAAAGACCCGGCGTGGATCCGAATACCTGAACGGGATTTGTTATGTAAAAGGACAAAAACTGAAAGATAATACTTACCAAAAGTGTGATTAGCGTTGCCATGAGTGAGAAGAACAAGAAGACACATGTCGAAAACGTGGGCAAAATAGTAGTAAATGAAGGAGTGCAATCTCCAAGAAAGGAGCTGATGTGCCGCCAGCTAAACAATAGAATTAGCTCACAAGAAGGGATGGAATTTGAGTCAATTATCACCTGTATCCTATTCGAAAGAGCATGTTTACGGCATTTGCTATGATAAAACCAGAAGCATTCAGGTAGGAGCAGAGTATGAAGCTAAGTAGAAGATGAGCAAATGCAGACACAAACAGAAAACCTCCATGCGAAAATACCTACAAAAAGCTGCTCAAAAGATTTACACCACATTAACCGACCGACGCTTACTTGAGCATTATTCATACTGGCCATGGCGAAGCATTCTGTAATGCCATTGACAGCCATGACAGACAAATAAACGCAGTATAATGACAGCAGCACAGCGCCTAAAGATAAGCTGTCAAATTTATGAACAATCTTTTTTTACATGATATACGCACTTAGGCCCTGGCCATACTTCGCTCAAAAGCGCCCAAAAG